TACAATTAAAATAAGACTGCATACATATTCTAAGTTTTATTTACAAGAAGTCCTAAAACCTATCCGAAAAGGCACCAATTAACAAAACAAATATTATTTTATAGAGAATAATATGTATTTACAATATATATAAATAAAACATAAAAGGAAAGGAAATAATATTTTTATCTTAATTATACCTAGAGTTTATTATATAATTAGAGATGAATGTTATACATAACATATATCCTGTTCAATATATTATACCTATATCCTGTCTTGTGTGCCTACTGTTAAATAAGTTTGCTATATTTGTGTGTGTATACTAATATATATATATATGTATATATGTTTATGATATTTATTTATTTTTTATTAAAATATATATTGTTTTTTTTTTAACAAATGTTTTTTTTTATATAAAGATATTAAATCTTTATTAAATTTCTTTTAAAATTGCATTATTACTTTATAATTGTGTAAACATTGCTAACTAAATATAGCTAAAATAATTGTTTTAAATATTTAACTTTTTATCTTAAAAATTATATATCTTTACTATAAACATTTTTGATTTTGTCTGTTTTTCAATATACTGCATATTTTAAGAATATTTTTTACATTATTTTATTTTTAGGAGCTAATTTTTTACTTAAAAGATGAGAAAAGTTGCATATTACTTTAAAATTTTATTATAATATTATATATACAAGTTTCATACTTATATGTGTACAGATTATACATAACATCAACCAATGATTACTGTCTACGCTGTCTACCAATGTTACGCATGCGCGAAAGTTTAGTACATAGATTTTGGGGCTATGTATTTAAAGCAAGTTAGCGATCTAGTTATAATATAGATATCTGTGATACCAATAGACCCTTTCTAACTATGGTTGCGTTCCGTTTCGCACATTATGCGCACGAATTACATAGAAAACGTTCCGTTTCACTCAATGCGCGCATGAACAGCGCTTAGAATTCCCTAGATCCCCACCACCTGCAGCGCATAATACACGCATCAGCTACCTC